GCTTGCATAATCTTACATCAGAACGGCATATTCAATGGCTTTTTGTTTTCTCTTTTTGACTGATGTTGACGTTTTGGGGAAGTCCAAAAAAATTATTACAATCCGCTTTAAGTTTTTTTTTCTCACCACAAAAAGTGGTTGAAGGGATAGATACCCTCCCCGGCCCCTCCGGTATTTGGCATAGGAGATGGGTACAACGTGGCAGTGCATCTCATAAAGTTTGCCCCAGTCGTTTTGATTTTGTGGGGTCAAGACTGAAGGGCCTGCTACGTCTATCAGCCAAAATTGTCAGCCCCCCCCCCCGGCTGAGCCATGAGGCTATTAGACCTATACAAATGAATCAAGAAATCTTACTTGGTGACAGTGAAGTGGTGATATTGTATACAGAATATGTGCTAAATCATTTAGAATGACGACCGCCCCTAAATAAGGCTGTCGGACGAAAAATCGTGGCTAAATCTTGACAGCGTCCTCTGTCCGAGCAATGGATTGTTTTATAGGTTTTTCAGGTCAAATGTCCACAGTATGAGGCGGAATGTGAAATTGGGTATTTCAAATGTCAATAGGCCAATCAAATATCCACATGAAGAAAATTGTTATGTAACCAATTGACCACTGGTGAATAACTTCGCTGATAGGTACATCAAATGTTGGGTAGCAAATTATGTGAAGACCGTACGTAAATATTTTGAACCTTCAGCTGACAGGACCGCCTCACATCTTTATTTATCCATGTCAAAGCGTTAACTTGAAGCAAACATGTAATAATTTACATGTAACGCGTACTACGGTAATTCCTAAATAATTTTGAAATAATTTTTGAAACGGAAATTTCAAAGACTGATGTAAAGAAAAGAAAAAGTCCTTAGTAACGATTGGTTTAAAATATATCTACCATGATTTTCGGGTGAAAGTATCATCTCAAATCGTGATTATTTCAAACATCCACTCATTTGAAATCACGATGTAACATTTGATTTCCCTAGTCAGTACTGGGCGTTTGCTTTTTCTTTGTGGATATTTGATCCACCCATCTGATTTACCTCTTTGTGTATACTGTGATACCTAGTGAAAATCTGAATGACCTATTTGGACTCCACTTCAAGTTGACATATGATCTGTCTTTGTTGATTGATGGTTCGGCGTACTGTACAAGTGTGGATATTAATTGACCTGAAAAAACCTAATGAAGATTTCGGCCTCGTTGGAGAATGGCATGGTATATTTCATCGTAGCGGGAAGTGTACGATCTTCGTGCATATAATGAGGATTTCAACGCTAGCGCTAGTGTCGCAATCAAGAGTCTACGTGTCATTAATGAGGAGAACCTCCATGCTCTAACTTCAGTGACACGTGGGCTATGCAATGGAATGTTCAAGACAATGCAACATCGATGAGGTCATCCGGTGCTACGTTAAGGCGCCGGGTGGCGAGCGAGTGAGCGAACGAAACCTCCATCGCAAACTAGAATGAACCCTGCTGCATGTGCGGCTTCCACTCTAAAGAATAAAAATTTCCATATCCTGAGAGTCAAATCCCTTCCCCATTCCCTTATGTAAAAAAACAATACACGCAACAAGCCCGGACCTATCATACTTGTTGCATCCCTTGGGCGTTCAGGATGATAAGCATAGTAGGACGCACGAAGCGAAGCCTCAATATCCTAGTCTCCTTGATTGAAGACAGCAAGTTGACGCCGGGTGCAGCGTGAACTGTTCCTGGATTTGAGGAATTTCCTTAAAACTTTCATAGATTTTCCTGAAAAGCTCCCTCGAAAGCAACAAATTTCCTTAAAATAAGGAAAATTTCTTGACAGTTGAACCACTGCCATGCCCTGCTGCGCTGCTCTTTAACCCTCAAAGAGCCGGGTTATTTTTTATCCATCTCACAGCCGGGGGGGCGGATCCCTCCCCTCCCCCAAGAATTTGTTTGTTTCATGCTTTTTTTGGGGGGGGGGTGGCATGCGTATGAAAACGCCCCTTATCATTACAAATGTGAAGCTTGAACTCAGTGTGGGTTCGTTACGTTCATTTGAAGTTCATGGCGACATGCATACCAGTACAAGTGCTTTGATCACCTCAGTGGAAAAAGTATACTGTTTTTTTTGGTTTTTTTTGCTGACCCCTCTCGGAAAAATGCACGCTGCGCGAGATCTGTATGTCCGAATTTTGCAAACAAGGTGTCAAAATAACCGCAAAGAATTGCTCTAAAAATTCTGAAAGGTTCAACTTCTTAAAAAAAAATGCACACCGTCGATATCGAAAAAAATGTCAAGGGGGTAGATTCCGCCCCTCCTCCTGCTCTTGTAGGGTTAAGATGGATAATCCTTTACGAACAGAGGGCGCCCTTTATTCCCGGATGGGGAAAACGAAAACCCTGCTGCATGCAGACCAGTGCACATTTAGTTTCACAAAAACTTTCAGGTGCACAGTTCCCAACCAATGTATAGTACGTGTATTAATTCATAATTCTAGTTATTATGTATTGTAGATATAGAGAAAACCTCATTTAGTCAGTCAAGGCTTATTGGAACTCGGGACCCTGGACTACCGGTAAGGAGATTCTGCTACTAACCTAGAAGGCTGTAGTGCGTAGTATGCCTACATTTGGGGGGGGGGGATTCGTAATGTTCGTTGTCTACCGCGCTCCCGCGTGGCGAACGAAAACGATGAACCCCACACTTCTTTCTGGGGGTATCCGTCTACGTCTCGTAGTTTGAGTCCTAGTTTTACAAGATCCGTTAAGGTGAAGAGTAGGCAGTACAGTATGGGGCCTAGCACTACCTAGGCCTACTTTCCGCATACATCACCTGTTACATGACGTGGTGTTCAGCATGTTCAGGGCAATCTTTCATGTCTTTGAACGTGCACAATTTTGATGCCTTGAACTGTGCACTTTTTTAGCCCTAACAGTCCTCAATCCTGCACCTATTGGAGGACTGAGGACTGTTAGGGTTAAGGGAGTCATGGTCAGCGTTCGACCAGGCCCGGCTGGCAGCATGGGGATTCACATCCCCTTCGAAGTCTCCAGCTCCCACCCTGCCACTAACGTTAGTCAAATTGGGAAATCGCAACTGTTGCCTTGGCTAGGATTCCAGTACAAAGTAGTTGTTTTGGGGTCACTTCAAAATCCTTATTTTGTCTGGGCCAGGGTCCTACTGTCATGACCGTCTTGACTGTTATTCCAAATGTGTTTCTAATTAGGCTTACATGTAGGCCTACGGCTCTAAGATTACAATTTTCCGAATTAAATGTCAACATGGAAAAACTGGGGAATTTAAGAGCTCTCAATATTTATTTTCAGAGGGATGAAAAGTCTGAATTAACTGTGGAGAGGGGAATCTAATTGTCCCAGTATTCATCAAAATGCTGGAATGGTGAAATACATCCATGTATCTCGTGTAGTGTGGCTGGCCGATGTGACATACCATACCCTCACCCCAAAAGTACATGTACGTATCACGCTCAACATGTTGCCTGGGGGCAAAGTGGCAAATGGGGAATGGGCAAAGTGGTAAGTATGGTAAGATGGCAAAGTGGCAGATAAGCCTTATCGAAAATACTGCATGGGCGATTTAAAGGTATTGTGGGAAGGAAAAAGGAGCAAACATTGCCCCCTTTTCCCTTCCCACAATGCCTTTCTACCATTGTGCAAAATCACCCATGCAGTATTTTCGATAAGGCTTCTGGGCGGAGTGGTTGTGAGAAAAGTACATGTAGTTGTGGGTGAAGTGACTGCAAAAAGTATGTTCCTGTTATCGGCAAAAGTGGTCTCTTGGGTTAGGATTGTACATCTGATGCCCTCCTTTTCTAGTGCGTTTGTGAGACTTAGTTTGACCGTTCACCATGCACGTATTGTTTACTTGTCAACTTAACTTTACTTTTAATCACAGTTGACATGACATCTGGCAGCAGTCAATGCATGAGAGAGAGGTTGTATGTCAATTCCTGAAGATGTGTACACAAGTGTTGCATTTCAACTTGCCCTATAAGGCCTTGAAAAAACAGATGCTAGGTTGAGAGGTACTGCTGTCCATGCATATCACGAACTACACTGGAGGGATAGAGGACCGAGTCGGCGTCAACGGTACTTATGAGCAACCATTTTCACTGTATTGAGGAAGTCAGGGTTCTGCTGGAAACATCACTGAAAATGCCACAATTTTAGAGCATTGCATAACCCATGTGACCCGGAAATGGTGACATGCAAGACCAAGGTTCTCTTGGAATCAGTGACTGAATGAGGCAAAGGCAAGGTTTGATCTTACGCTTGTAACACCCAATGCTGAATCTATTTTTTCAACCTCTTCCGACATTTTAACCATGTTTATTAGGAGGCTGTAACATTCTTGTACCATAGGACCAGGACAGACCTGTCCGTATCACTCCTACATTGACATTTCAACGATACAATGCAATTACATGGATATCGTTTGCCTTACTTTTTCAAAGACTACAGTGATACCATTGCATATGTAGTGCCTTGATAACCCATCAGGATCCTGGAACTCTAAGACAAGAAAATCTGAGTGTGACGAAACTCACAATTGTAACTACAAAAGCTAAACTGAACTGAGGCAGTCAATCAGAATGTCATGAGAACCATGACAGAAAGTAACAAACATCAGCAGTGAATTTTTCGAATGCCAGTTGTGGTCTTGCCAAATTTTAAAACGCATCTTCACAGAGGATATCCCCTCAGAGGGCGTCCCACTTTGAAAAGCAGCTCCAACTGAAATGAACTTCAGCAAGTGTATTTCAACATCTACTTGCCTGAAGAAAACGACGTACCATTTTTGCCTGGATTCAAGGAGGTGAGACACCAAGCATGAACGATAATCTGCCACAGTTGAAGGTTGTGTTGCTGGGCAAGCCATGTGGAGGGAAGACTTGTCTAATGGAGAGGTTTGTCTGCAACAGATTCCGCCACGAGGCTAAACCAGTGAGTACAAAAGGCCTCTCCAAATGAGTGTACATGTTTTCAGTACATCTCAGTCTGTTTGTTGGTCTCTGTTTTCTTTACTTTGTCTTTATTGTTCCGCTCTTGTCTTTCCTGGATGATTTCTCGTCGGTTTTGTTAGTCAAATTTTTGACTAACATTTTTGGGGGGAGGGGAGGTGGTAGCACAATGAAAGGTGGTGGGCACATTTCAGAATTTCAAATGGGAAAGGAAGGACCGGGGGAGGGGGGGAACCTCTACTGGGGGCACATGTTTCCCCTGCCCCCAAACAGGGAAATATGAGTAATAATGTTTCCCCATGTGACCTTGTCCCAGACATGTGGTGTAGCTTTTGAACTGAAGGACGTTAAAGTGGATAGCCGGACAGTCAGGATACAAATCTGGGTAAGTGCCGCTAGTGACGGGACCTCCAACTCCGAGGGATAAGACCAAGAAGTGTTAAAAGGGGTAGGAGGGGCTTATGAGATAGGGAAGAGGGGAGGGAGGCTTTGTCCCTCAGTCACACAGTGACTGTGTTGCCATAGTTTATTTTGGAAGTTCTTCCTCTGTACCCAATCAGGAGTCATCCTGTCATTCTTGGGCACAGCTTTCCAAGATTACTGGTCCAGGGGATCATCGGGCCGTCAGATCTGTAGAGATCAATCGAGGAAGTGGGCTGAGAACTGTACTGTATTGGACTTCGTGCAACTGAAGAAAAATCAAATTTTGATTTGTTTGTGGATCTTCAAAAATACTCAGCTCAACTCTTACTCAAAAATGTCAGCTCCCACTTTGTTGCCAAGAGGGAGAATTGCTATTTCTCCAAGTTGGAGAAGCCTCTCAAGCCAATGCAGTAGGCCTGCATTAGATTGAATAATTGAATATCGGACCTGAAAGTTGATCAAATATTCCAACACTTGGTCATACAGTAATTTTTTATTAACCGTGCCTCCAAAGGGATAGATTTTATACACAAAATAACACATTATCATCACTGCCAACAGAGTAGTGATTTCATGTTTAGGAAAGCTGAAGCGTATGACCCAATTTGGAAAACAAAATGGTTCATGTTATTGTTCTGCACTTAAGAATAATTGAATCACATTGAATTAAAACGAACATTGACTTTTCAAGTATTTCATGAAATTCTGATAATACAGTATTCAGTGCCGGCCTATGGTATAACTGAGTGATCAAATCAAGGTTTACCTGCAGTCCTGAAAAGAAGCAACTGAAATATCTTTGGCAAGTTATTTCCAGTCCAGTGTTAATCTCTTTATCGAGCATCACTAAATTTAATTGTCTGATCATCAGGACATTGGGGGAAGTGAACTGTACACGTCTATCAGTCGGCTTTACTACCGAGGGGCTGGCGCTGCTATAGTCTGTTATGGTAAGTCGCGGCTGTCGTCCAAGATGAACGATTAGGTTTCCTTAACCTGACCCTCCGGACACCATTCAAAAGCCATTGTGATTTCGACACAGACACACTGACCACAACACAACCCTCTGGGTTATGTGAATACCGTTGAGTCCTTTGGTTAAAAAAGTCTGTTCTTTTATATACTCGTGCAAACACGATTGGATGCGACATTCATAAAAAGTTTGTTAACCTTGACAGGCCTAAATCGAATGTTCAGGATTTTTCCCACACACCTGAGGGAGTTAAGATTGGCTCAACTATAAATGAAAACGGAGTTATAAAGGATGAATTTTTTCCGTTTTTTTTTTTTTTTAGTCTTTCAAACGCAATGAGAGAAAAATTATTTGGGAGGCTCTCCCATTTCTCCTCTTCCCCAAAGTGTATAGAAAGCCCCCAAATTTAGCCTGTCCCCATAGAAAGGCCATGACAGTATTCTCCCCCATTTTTTGGCTCCTGGACACAAAGTGGCCCCCATCCTCCCCCAAAAAGAGATATTTGGTTCTAGATCTTTCTGGTTATGCATCAATCTGTCTGTCTGTCTGTCTGTCCGTCTGTCTGTCTTTATCCCTGTACAGATCTTACCAGTCCAACCAGCTTTGACAGGATCAAGCTCTGGGTGGAACAGGTGAAAAGGAGCGAAGAGGTACTATTTCGTAGAGCGTGTACATTTTTACCAGACAAGTTCTTTTCCCGGTCATCAAATTTTTGGGTCCTTAGAAAGTTTGCATTTAGCTGATGTCTTCATGAGGAATTCTAGTGTTAACTACATTTATACATGTAGGTGTCAGATGTTGACATGTTGGCCATGTGAATTTTGGTGCCATTTCCTGTCTTTGCTGTACTTCTGGCATGGCTTGCTAAGTTTGATTTTTTTTTTCCCCGTAGTTTTGTTTAAATTTGTGCTCATTTGTGAAAAAAATTATAATATCTCTCACTCATATTCATAATCAAGAGCCAACTTCTCACAGTTTTGTTGACCGTTAGTCACACTTTTTTTCATTGTTTGATTCTATCTCAGTTTTGCAAAATTTATCTGTGCGGTACAAAGCTTGACCTAGTGGAGAGGGGTAGGCTGCCGAGACAGGTGGACAGTGACGTTGTGGCAGATTACACGGAAGGTACTCAGGCGCTTTTTAACTGCAAGTTTTCCACTTTATCTTCAGAGTTTTTTTTTTTTTTTGAAACCAATATGGTACAGCAGATAAACTGGTAGTGATCAAGCTTCACAAAATGTCTCACAAAATTTAAAGGGAACATGCTCAAGGGAAAGGGAAACCACACCGTCCTTTCAAGTGGATTACGCTGTTTGAAATTCCAATAAAAATGGGCATTAGAGTGAAATGACAGATTTAGACTGCATTTGCACGTACCACAGTGCAGCAGAAAAATATTCTGAAGGGACTATGCGTGTAAACCTTGTGAACTACACGAATTTTCCCACCTTGGCTTCTTGAACTTTGTTGAAACCTCCATAGTAGAACGCCCTAGGGGAGGCGATCGAATCTCGCAAAATGACGGTGACTCGGGCTCATTTTTTTACTTATTGGCTTGTGTCGTGCAGGAGAAAGGGAACACCAAGCTATCTATTTTGATGTACATCTTACGTTTATTCTCGACTAAAGACAGGTTTTCTGTGATGGGGTTTGCAATGCGGATAGTTTGTGTTGATTTCCATCATGCAAGATTTGTTCAAAGGTCTGTAAATCAAAACAAGGAAAACAAGGTCAGCAACTGCGGACTCTTTTTTTTATTTCCCTTGGGCATTCCCAAACCGTGTATTTTGATAGTGCTTCCATTTGCCCATCTGCCTCGACAACCCATGATATTTAGTTTGACTGATAAATCTCTTTCCTTTTTGAACACAGAACTTCATGCAGAAGTCTTTGAAACTTCAAGTAAGACTGGTTACAATGTCAGTAAGTACAAGCTGTGCCCGATGGTTTGTAGTACGAAGTCCCTAAATTTGGAATTCTTCAAATGATTTTCGTGAAGCTTCAGTGTATTTTGAAATAATTTAATCGATGGATTTGATGAGGTTTTCCAAGGACATGGTAATTCTTTGGAGTCTGTTTCTCTGCCCTCGCTTGGCAGTGTTTGAGATCACCGAGTTGAGTAGCAGAGTCCTGCCCCGAACAAATGTCAGTGTTTTTTTGATTTCACATAATTGCAGGAGATCTGTTCTTGAAGGTTGCCAAAGATTACCTCCATGACGGCAAGCACATAGCTTACATTGATAGTAGACAAGAAGATGGAGAGGATATAGGTATGTTTTTATTCATGTTTTTTAGATCAATTCATTTCAAAAGTCCGTTCATTTATCTATATTATCTGATCAAGATCTTTGAGTTTTCCCCAGGAATTGTACACACGTGAATTATAATTTGATGACTCCTGACTCATCGCTCCCACAAGACCAACGGCTAGTAGTACCTTTTCTGAAAACTTTGTTTGTTTGTTTGTTCCTTTTTTTGGGCGGCAGCACTCCTGGGAAACAACAAACGTAAACGATGTGGCTGCTGCCCCTGGTAGCCGGTCACAACATGCACACATCCAGCTAGAATCACAACAAGTGCCCCTGTCCGATGCGTCGGCATCCTGTCAATGGTGTTATAGGTGGTCTTTAATAAGACCAAATTGAAATTAGTATTAACTTTCGCAGGAAAGGATACAAACTGATGCCTTTCAGATTCTCTATCAATGTTTAGAAAAGGGAATGAAAGTCATGGGATGGATTCAGGATTTTTTGTTGAGGGGTCTTCAAATGTTTAGATGGGGGGAGGGGGTTGTGTTACGGTATTCGTCATCATTATTGGGGCCCTTTCAACTCTTTGTTTTGCTCTTAAACAAATGCCCAAATAAGACCCCTACGTTTTTTTTCTTTGTTGAGGAGCCGGCATCCTCTAGATCCGGGCGTCAAAAAGAAGTAGGAGACGAGCGGGGTGACCTCGACCCTGTCCGCTGTGTAATTTCTTCATGCGACCCTGTATGGCCTCTCTGGGTGGTTGAGACTAAATGTTAGGGGCTTTTTCACATACCTTTAGATGGAAGGGCAAGAAAATTATCCCTTAACGCTTCTCATATCTAAAAAAAAAAAAAATAATTGCTCTCTTTTGAGGGGGCGTGGCCCCCGTTGCCCTTCCCCTGCTGTATGAAATTACCTTTAAAGAGAACTTACGCAACTCTAGTATCTTGTAAAAACAATGAAATTTATTTTTATATTGCATGTTTTGTACATTACTCCTTTTTTCGTAGACTGTAATATTTTTGGATTGTTTTCTTTACTTGCTCAAAGTGAGCAATCATTGTATGTTTCATTATATTTCCAGTGCTGAACACATGTACCTTTTAAAGTTGTAGTTTTATTCTATTTAGAGGAAAAATGTCCTCCATGTCTGCATTACTTTTGGTTAACCGAACTTAAAAAAGCGTAGGTCCTTATCGAATCTTCCCTCTCACAAATTCTTTATTCTAGATCTGTTACTTCAATAAACCTTTTGCAAATTAAATTTGATTACAATCTGGTACACAGACTTATCTGATTACATGATACATAATTTGAATTCCCCAGACTAAAGACACTGTTGCTATACCGCGTGATTTGGGGCTAAGTTCTGCATAGCGACCACCATCTCGGAAATGGGCTGGTTCCTTTGTGCCCTTCTTGTCCATTGGAAGCAGCGTATTGGTGCAAGGTGTCTCTTATGTAATTAAGCAAAAGCCTGCCCTGAATCACAAAGTTAGGGATAGATGTCTTTAGTATGGAGAATTCAAATTCTTGTGTTCATGGAATTCAAAGAACTCCATGTACCATATTTTATTCAAATTTAATTCGCAAAAGGTTGATTACTTCAGCAGCCTCAGACGATTCACATCTCTCACAAATAAATATACATGTAATTGTAATTTCAATTACACTGGTAATAAATTAGTCAATTTGAGATAATGATGTCAGTGGCTTATTCGTATGCATTTTTTATGTTGAATTGACAGTCTTATTTCATTCAGCTTGGTGATCTGCTCTCGTCTATCCTGAAATTAGGGAGTTTAGAGGCCTATGTGGTCGGGAATTATTTTCAGTTGACAAATCCCCTAGCGCGCGCATGTACTCTGACCCATCTTAAACCAATGGCACGTTTGTTACCTATGTTATTTAGATGTATTTCAATCCATAATAAAAATCTCCGTAATTATGTTGATTGGTTTTAGCATGAAGGAATTCCTCCATGGTTTTAGTTATATTCAGCCTGAGCAAGAAATTAGACTGAGGGGGTCCCCCAACATGCATATGTCCAACACGTGCCCTCCTAAGTGCCTGAAAAGAATTCATCACTTTCCAGTGAAATAATGACCAATACAGAGCGGAGGGTCCTCTCCGTCTCATATCTTGCTTCATATAATTTTAGTTGGACTTTCTTGTGCACAGTGTTTATTCAAAGCCATATTTTGTTGGGATATGTTTGTCCGGGGCAGAATATCGTTGTAGGAACATTAGAGGTTTTAACCAAGAACGATCTAAAGTTTGGTGTGAAACCGCACCCAGGCAGCTGCTTAAAAATAAAAGGAAATACGCATATAGAGAGGGCGCTATTCATACATCATGGCGACTACCAAGGAAGGTAAAAAACTGTAGATCTTGCCGCCTGTGATTATTTTTTTATTCCTTACTTGTAGGGTTGTAAGTATTGAGTAGTTATAATGTCTGTCTTCTTAGAACGAATTAAATGTAGCATGAGTTTAAATGTGTTATTTTCGTAATTTTCATTGCACTAGCACTGACTAGCAGTAGCACGACTAGTGATCGAAATATGTAATGATGTTGTATGTCGGCACCTACATGTACAGTGACCTAGGGATCCGGTCTAGCCCTGCGCCCAGGTGGACTCCCTGACCGTACTACGTAACGTAATGAAATAAAGACAACGTCCAACCTGGGCTAGGGCCTGGTATTACTTACTACTTAGCGTCAACACACACAGGTGGCGTCAACATAGCCCCTAGGCCCCAAGGCACTAGTGAGTGTGGCAACAAAGCATGATCTACTACTTGAAAATACCCTCTACAGATTTAACCCTTCTCGACGGGATTTTCTTTCAAAAAGCCGACTCCAAGAATTCCAGCCTCGCTTCGCCAAGAAGGCCACCTGCCAAACCGCAAATTCTCGGTTTGTGGCCCAGCGTGCTCTGCAC